CTGGCCTCTAGTCTTGCTACTCAAAGTACAACTCATGGACCAGAGCCCTAACAATATCAGGAGTCTGCAGAATCCCAGGCTTCACCCTAGACCTACTAAATTAGAACCTGCATTTTAATGAAACCCCACTGTGATGTGTATGTCCAGTCTCTTTGGGAGCCACACAGGACTGTACCTACCATCTTTATACCCTCACACAGATCTCTAGGCTGTGCCAAAGTTGGAAATAAATCAAGGAAACTTCTTAATTAAATGCTCACTAATCCTGAAGCTATCAGGCTGAATGAAGACAGTGTGGTTCAGGAAACCTCCAGCCATTCTGTGCTCTGTAGTGCTGAATTTTAGCCAAAAGGCACTCTTACCCCTCCCCCCCCCACACACACACACAGTCTCATTGCATCACACCAAGATATAAGTGGAGTATAACCAGGATCTGATCCATTGCTAACCCATTTATTTCATCATCTAATTCATATACCTGGTTTAGCTATAGACACAAAGATATGCGGGATTATCAAAGTCAGGAACAGACACTAATTTTTAAAACAAAGGGGGACAACTAAATAATGACTTACGTCTGATTGAGTATACAAGAGGTTTTAAAGCCTTCACAACATAATCCAGATCAGGTTTATGAATTCTCCCAAGCCGTATCAGATGGTGATCTTCTGGGTCACTGGCTAACTCCTCCAGGTGGTCCTTATGTGCTAAGCCCAGGGAAATCACAACTATGACAAAGCCTTTACATTTGGCCTTCAAAGCAATCTCCTGTAAAAAGGATCTTTTCTCATAATTTTCTCCAGCTGACACCACAAAAATGACTTTGTGTCTTCTCAGGTTGAGTGTTCTTGGGAAGAGATTCTCTATGGTCCATGATAGGGAATGGCCAAAGGTAGCTTCTCCACTTAGCTGTTGGAGGTGAGTCTGAATGTGGTTCTTTATTAGGAATGCGCTGTTATAAGTTGTAAAGTCAAACTCTGTTCTTACTGCACCCTTGCTTCTACTGTAACTATCCCAAGGAGAATAGCTCAACAAAGCAATTCTATCACCGTCTGAGGTGAAAGGGGCTGTAGCGATGTTGAAGTTGTCAAGCATTGAGCTCACCAAAGCTTTCACAGCCTGATACTCATCATTTAATATATACTGAGAATTTTCTAAGAAGAAGGCTACATCCATGTATGAATCTTCTGGTAAATCAATCTCTTTGGTACAGACATTTGGAAAACATTTATCTGAAAACAGAAAGTTATCATCGTTTCAATAATAGCATAAGATGACATAAGACATAGTTGTTTGAGATTTTATTCAATTGATTTGGTGGCTGATTCCTAAGAATAATCTTATCACCTCTTTAACCTCACTCATTTAAATTAATAAGAAATTGTCAATGTTCCAACATTTCTGTGGTCACTAGCAATTTAGAAAGATCCTTGCTGAAGGCAGATATAGAGAGCATGTATACTACAAGTCTACAAAGCATGTCTAAACTCAGTCAGAAAATATGTTCAATATTTTAGAGGTTTTTTTGAGACAAACTACCATAACTGTTCCCAAGGAAATCACATTAATTGTGTCACTCTTCTAAACCCACTTCCATAATCTGTGGAAATGTTCCAAATGCAATGTTTGGAACTCCAGACATTACAGCAACTGAAATCCTGACATAGGGCATTGGGGGACTGAGTAACTTTGAGTTTATAATCAAAAATAGAAATATAGGGTAGTCAGATTTCGTAACTCATCAGGAAGCCATTTAAACAGTTCAGCACAAGAAATGCTTCTTGCTGGTCTTACCATAGCAAAGTGTACAGCGCCAAAGTCTTTCTGTTGGTTCATATTCCCCACCTGGAGGAATGGAAATGACCTGAAATGTTCCAGTGGTGTCAAACTGCATGGAGAGAGAAGAAGATGCCTGTTTGCGTGTCTTCTTTTGTCATCATCAGGAAGTCGCCAGCACCCAGCTTAGGAAAGTCTGGCTGGAAAGCCCTAGGGCAGTGCTGGCGCACAGCAGGGGGCTCAGCAAAGCTGGTGCTGCCACCACTGCCTACTGGCCATCGCTAGTCGCCACGTTCCATGGACTCCGGCAGCAACACAACTCTGGAATCTACCAAGGCATCAGGAAGCCTGGCTCCTGAAGTCCCCACCACCCTGTCCTGCTAGTACCACGAATTTGCCTGAGGGAAGAATTTGCCTGAGGGAAGCTCTTACCTCAAAAGCCTCCTCAAGGAAAACCTTTCTATCAAAAGTAATGACGGCCGGGCTGATGTCCCAGGCGCTGAACTCCATGGTGGCTGTGATGATGGACTGCAGACTGGCCGCTTGGCCAGTGCTAAAAAACACAGCCACTTTCCTCACGTTGGGCCCTGCAAAGTTACGCTTGAAGCTGTTCCGGGCCACAAACCTCATTGCATTACCAATATCTTGGGCTGCCATGGGGGGTTGATATTTTATCTGGGACAGGAGCTGAAGGAGCTGCTTCTTGTTACGGTAGTCAAACCAACGGATGAGATGCCAGACATGTGAGTCATAGGCAGTCACAGCAACTCTTGCTCCCATGAGGCAGTTATGTTCCATGATGCTAAGGTCATTGATGATGGATCTGATGATGCCCACCATTGCATTAAATCTTTGTTCTGTGCTGTCATATGACTGGTCCAGGGCAAATACCAGCTCTGTTGGGTACAGTGGACATTTTTCTACAAAAATAGAAAGCAGTATTATTTTGTTGGCTCAAAAGCCTTGTCCGTTCCTTTTAACCCAGTGAGGCTGGCTTACGTCTAGGAGAAGGTCCCTGTCACATCCAACTCTGCAGCCAGAGGTACGCAAATAATGGAAGGAAAGGAATCTGCTTCACAAGTGTGAAAACGGCAGGTGAAGAGGATGCACTGACCCTTGCTAGCCAATAATCGGAACTCACAGCCCTTCTTTTCCAACAGTCTGCTGGAGGGAGGACAGGCATGGTGGGATGCTTCTGGCCTGATGGATGATGGTCACAAGAATCTACGCATGTGCTAACACTAAGCACACACAAAGTGAATTTTGCCCTATATCTTAAAAAGTGAATAAAAAGAGATAATGATTTACTGGGGATTTTGAAAGCGTCTGCTCTTCAAGAATTGTCAGAAATAACCTACTATAATGATGAAGCCTGCTGGAATATATTCAACCCATGTGCAAGGAATATTTAATGAGCAGCCATCAGGCAAAATGCAAGGTGATTGTGTGCTGTGAGCCAGAGGCAAGTTGAGCCAATGGAGGTCTTCCCTCCAGGGGCTAGTGCTGGGAGACTCAAACTGAATGATTGTTACTGCAGTGGGGGGCCAGAGGAAGAGGGGAGAAGATCTCAGGAGCTTCCTGAAAGCCAAAGTCAGCAGGGCCAGAGAGACAGTACTGGCCATGGCAGGCCAGTGGGAGCTACAGGAAATGCACTGTCTGCAGTTCTCACCTCAATACTCATAATGGCAGGATGACTGCACTTAGCATCTCATTAGGGAATCTGCCCTGTATGCCAAGCCTGACTTTTTGATGTCCTTGTTAAAGTCTAGGCTGAGGAAAAGGCACTTAAAAATTTAAATTAAAAAGCATCCCTCTCTACAAAAGTTATTCTACCATCCCCAATGTTGGCTACCTCCCAAAGTACATTAAAGTCAAAATATTCCACATGCCAAGCACTGTTCTCAGTAATATAAACAGGAGTGGAAGTGCTGTTATAGAGATGTAAAATCAGGAAATTTACCATGAAAATTTAGTTGAAAGCTGACAATCAACAATAGTATAAGAAAAATTATGTATTCTTCAATTCTTAGCCTTTCATTCCCTCACATCTGCCATGAAAAATTGTCAGTACAGTGGTAGAGAAGCATCAAGATGGACTGATCACTAGAAATTCTCCTGGGAGGCAGGACTGATGGCTATTTTTTTTCTTTTCTGTTTTCCATTCCTAGTGCCCAACAAGTTGACTGTAACATTTCATCCAAATCTATGAATTTGGGGGGACATTTGCATGTGTGTGTAATTAAAGTAAGTGGTTCCTAACTTTGGGATAAGCTAAAGACCCCAAGGGTCCACTTCAGCTTTCTCCAGGAGACCTTTCTCCAGGGATACTTGATATCCAAGGGGTCTCAGGGGTCCACTGCCTCTGGCCTAGGCAGACCACCCAGGCAGAGTCATGCTGCCCCGGAGTGAAACAGGCCACTCTGTGGGACACTGAGTAGTAGACATAGAACACTGGTGTGACGGCCTTCAGGGGCTGGGAGAGCATCTCACAGTCAGGTTGAAGGTGGCAGTGACAGTTAAACAAAGGGTTAAAGTGACAGATTAACAAAGGGCTGGAAGACTTTTTCCCCACAGAGGTGAGTTTCTCTTTCAAACCAGTGTTGTCAGAAGGCAGTAATTACTTCAGCAAGAAACAGGGGTGGTAAGAAGACTCACTTTTCCAACAAGCTGTGAAAAGGAAAGAGAGGAGAATCAGTTCTATTTTTTGGTTCCAGAATTAAAATATCCCCCTCCCCCCAAAACAAACAAACAAACAATATCTCAACAAAGCTGAGTATTTTGTTTGACTGACTGAGAACAAGTTAACTCCAAAGTAACAGGAAGCCACATTCAAGGAACTGAAGAAGCTTGCATGTAGGGTTTTATTAATTTCTGCACCTTCCTGACTTTTCCTCCTTGTAAGCCATGGCCAGCAGAGGTCAGCTGAACTTTGGTTGAAATCTGAAATGCTGATCACTTGTCTTGGAAGTAGGATGCGCCTCTGACTAAATGGCCAGACAGTTAACATTGAACTTTCTTTCTGTCTCTTCTCAGTCTTTTGAGAGTCGTTCAGCAAGGCATGGCTAACATCTGGGGTGTTGTTTTCTTCCCTGATGAACACCTTGGGAGGTCTAGGAATTTCCAAATGAAGT